TCTTTGCCAAGAAAACCCCAAATGGGGTCATGGAGAGTCAGACATGACAGAAAAACAACTGAACAACAGCAAAATTGTTAGGAAGTTTTCCCTGGGACATCCAGCCTAAATTTCCATTTTTTTTTGACTCCAAGTCCAGAACGTCTGCACACAGAATGTCTCCACACCAATCCTACTTCCAGATGAAAATGGAAAAATTCACTCAAACATCCAGCTGTTTTTTATGTAGCACTTGGCTTTTTGTTATTGACAGGACAAGACCACTGGGAAATTGATGGACATTTCCCTTTCTGTCTTTGTGCTACATGCAGGCAAGGTCAGAGGGCCTTGTGAATTAGAGCTTCCCTTGCCCAAAGTACGTGGCGTTCACTGCATTGATTAGAATGCTCTGGTGCCTTCTATTTCCTGTTTGTGAGTAGATGGGACCGTCTAGGGGGAGCAGTTGGCTGGCTTGCGCGTCGTGAGCTCTAGTCAAGGCAGATGCAGACTCTGGGTCAAGGGCTTATGAGCCCAATGATGATGGATACATGCATGAGAGAACCCTCTTCTTTGCCAAGATGGATCCAAACTTGAGTACCACCTGGCAGGGTTTCTGCTGAGTTTATCTAGGAGGGTCATTTTTCTTATTGGCCTTTATTGAACACCTTAGATTTTGGTGGGATCTTCTTTTAGAGTGGTCCTAATGCTTTAACCTGGGCGACTCTGGCCAGCTCTCCTCCATGGTCTCTGCCTCAGGTGTTGGGGAGGGAGGAAAACACCAAATCTCAGATCTAGAACCAGGCAGCAGGATCATAAGAGCCTAGATTTGGAGCTAGAAGGGACCTTGGGAACCCTCTGATTTTAGAGATGAGGAAAGTGAGGAGACCCAGACAGGTAGAGTGAGTCGTGTGACCTGGCATGACACAGTTTGTTAAGTTTCTGAAGGGAAACAGTCTTGGCTCCAGAATCTCCCCTTGTCTCTCTGAAACAGGCCCATGGGAGTCTGAGCAGGTGTTTTGTGGGAGAATATTGTCCCAGGTGAGCGCCTGAAATTGAGAAAGGAAGGTGGGAGGCATGGGGAAGAGGGGGACAGATGCCATCTTCATAGTCCTATCAGGCCCCTTTCTCCTTTTCCCTCAGAACTGTCTTGGTCTTCTCCTCTTCTGGGTTGTTTTTTAGTATTGGTAGTAAGAGGCAGGAATTCTGTGAGGTGAACACCAGAGATGCATGACAACTGCGCATATATCTGAGGTCTACGCCATTGGACTTTACTCTGGCCTCCAGTGGGATGTTTATTTGCCCCACTGCATTCCTTTAGAGAAGGAAATTTCTAACCTGGAAGTCAGAGGATTGACCCCTCTTATCTTTTAGAGAAAGAGGCAGCTGTAACTGAAAGAAAGCTGGATTTGGAGGAGTTAGGAAGATTTGAGTTAAAATCTTGCTCCAGACATTTTACTAAATCACTTAGCTTCTCACAGGCTTAGTTATCTTATCTATAAAATTTACGGAATAATAATAGCATCTATGCCACAGGGTTATTGTGAGGATCAGAGGAGATAATCCGTGTAAGGCATTTTGCAAATCTTAAAGCGCTATATAAATGCTAGCTAATATTATTATTATCTGTTTATGTTTTTCCCATTTAGAAGGATGTGAGCTCCTTGGAAGCTGGAACTAGCACAGTGCCTGGTTAAACTGAATTGAATCCTCTTCATTCTGCAGGCTAGAAAGGGCTGGTGGAAGGTTTTTTTTTTCCCCTCTTTTTTTTCTTTTCTTGTGGCAATCATCCTTCCCTGCTTACAAATTGTTCCCTGGTGTGTCCACTGTTGCCCATGCCCAGGGCATGTTGTATTGGAGAGCTGGGCAAAAGTCAATACTCCTGAGAACGCACTTTCATTTTCCCTTGAGAGTCTCTGGGTCCTACAGGTGCCTGATTTTAGGTGCTGCCTGTTTTATTTTCTTTCATTTGGCTGGGGGCGGGGGGGGGGGGGGGCGGCTTGCAGGGCCTCTCTGATTTATATGATTTCCTTAATTGATTCAGTGGGATTAACTGACTCCTTTTTCCAGGTTACTCACAGCAAATCAGGGTTCATAGCTCTCTTTCCTAGAGAAAGGGAGTTGAGACTTTGCAAAAAGTCAGCTGGGGATGGGCACCAGATTTCCCCATCTCTTTGTATGCATGTCAGTTTCAGGGATGGTTAATTCTGCCTATCTTCAGTTCAGGCTGCTGAACCTTCTTCCTGGCTAGAGCGACTTGCTTGTTTGTCCTAGTATCTCCAGCTTCCAGAGAAAAAGAGGGGCAAGTCAGATGCCCTCCAGGGCCTCCATGCCAACTGGCGAACATGAGCTTCTTCCAAGTGTCTCTCTCCTCCTGGCTCCAGCGGAGGCTTTGCTGGGAGGCTCTGTACTGCTGGGTGCTGTTTCCTCTGTTGTGGCTGGTTGTTCAATCTCTTCCTGCTCTCTCTGTAAGTAAGCAACCACTCAGCTGACCAGCTGATGAGGTGGCACTGGCTGATCCTTGGGCAGCCGCCAGGGCAAGGACTAAATCACCAGAAATGACACTTCTGGCTGAGCCTCTCAAATACCACTGCCATAAACGCGAAGCAGGTAGCCTGGAACAGTCAGTAAGCAATTATTAAGTGCCTACTGTGTGCCAGGCACTGTGCTAAGCACCGGGGATACAAGGAAAGG